GGGGGGTGGCACTGGGATCCCTGAGCTGGGCAGGGGAAGGGCACAGGGGAGATGAGGGGCCACTGGGGGCAGAGGAGGCTGAAGCATGGGGGCACATTGGGTCTCGTGGGGGACAGATGAGGCACAGAGGCAGAACATGGAAATAAGGAGATCCTCGCAGGCTCAGCGAACAACTGGGAGTGGCAGGGGAAAACCCCCTTATGGGGGTTGGACAGTTGTCACTCAGGCTGCCTGCCCTGGAGTGTCCCTCTTGGATGCACCAGCTCTGGTAGGTTTTCCTATGACCCCTGTCCCCCACTGCTACTGGCACCCTGTCTCTACCCTGGACCCCAAACTCAGCCGCACAGCACACACCCAGTGGGTGCAGGGGGGTATCTCAAGGGGCCAGGCACTGCCTGGGCATCACCTGAGCCTCAGGTCAGGCAGAGATGGCAAGAAACCTTTTACCCACCTTGCCACCTCACCCCAACCCAACTGTCACATCCCTTCCTGAAATCGGTCCCTTCCACGGAATGTGGGTTCACCCCAGCTGCTTCTGCCCCTTTCCCAAAGCCAGTGCCCACTCCACAGTGCAAGGCTCACTCACCCTGCAGCAGGTAGTCCTCGAAGAGCATGGCCGTGTCCCCCACCAGCTCCAGTGTCCCCCTGCAGGTGTCTCCCGGCCGCAGCCTTGCTTGCACCACCCTGTACTTTGCACGGGGCGGCCGCACTCTGCTCTGCTCTGCTCTTATCTCCCAGCTGTGCTGAAAGCAGCAGCTCCAGTGGCACAACACGATTTCCCTGTTGGCCCAGAGCTGCTGTGGGCTCCCTGGGCTGGCTCCACTGTTGGTGCAAGGTCTGACACCCGCCGTGTGGAATTTAGTGACCTCCCGTGCTGGCCCTGGCCGAGCACATGCCCTCACAGCATTTCTGGGGAAAGGGAGCACAAAGTGGGAGTGGAAAGGGTGCAGAACAGGTATAAAGCACAAGTTGTGTTTGATGCCACATTTTATTGTGCACAATCACTCAAAACTCCGGCTTTGAGGCTTGTCTAAGCTCTGTGGAGGATTTTGTGTGCTTCAGTCACACAGAGAGAAGAAGCACCCAGGAAAAGCTGCCTGGCTGGATGCAGCCCCTTTGGAGACACCTAGGAGGTGGCTGAGCAGGGAGCAAAGCCAAGCATGGGCTGTAGTGCCTGGGGCTGGGACCAGCTGTGCTCAACCAGTGGCCAAGGTAAACCCAGCTGTGTCTTCTCCAGTGGTGCTGAGGTGAGAGTTATTAAACCAAATCCTCCCATGGCTGCTGCTTGTGCCATGAGCACTGGGACCAGGGGGACAAGGTGCCACGTCCAGTGCCCTGCAGACACACGGATGCCGCTCCACGCCTCCCTCTGCCAGCGCCCCCGGCAGCCCCGCTGCCCTCTGCAGCCCTGCTGGATGCCAGCCAGCACAGTTCACCTCCTGCGCCCCAGGCGGGCCATCAGCTCGGCGTTGGCAGCTGCCTTGGCCTGCAGTTCCTTCTCTCTGGCCAGGTCGAGCAGGATTTTCAGTAGGTGAGTGTGGACATCGAGTGACAGGGACACCTTGCTCCCCTTTTTCCTGGGAGCTGCTTTCTTGGCGGCTGGGCTCATCAGCCAGGGCAGGGCTTGTCTTTCTGATCCCTCTAGCAGCGACAGGCTGGCTTCATCCAGTTGAGACACTGCTCCAGAGCCATCATCACCCCTCTTCATTTTGGAGAGACCAGGCAGCATGTTGTTATGGCTGGTGCTTTCCTGCCTCATCAGCTTCCCTCCATCCACACTCTGGGGGGCTGCTGAGGGCCACTCACGGCTCGGTCCCTTCCAGGCTCCTGTGGGTGCCCCGAGCAGCACCAGGAAGGACAGCAGCATCCTGCCTCGCAGCGTGGCCGGGGGTGCCTGCGGGGAGCACGTGGCTTGGCTCTGAGCATCACCCCCACCACCCTGCCACTGCCCCACAGCCCCCAGGCAGGACACGTCCCCACCAGGGTGTCACCCACTGAGCCCCTCTGCTCCCTGCACCAGCTGGTGGGGCTTCACCCTCCTTTCAAGAACCCTTAATGATTCCACCCTGATTTTAACACTCTTGAACAGGGTGGGGAATTTTGGGGAGGCTGAAGGGGACATGGGAAGCAAATCACCTGGGTGTCCTTGTCCTTTCACACAGCTCCTGGCCAGATGCTAGCCATGCCCTCAATTTCACACCCCTCAGCCCTTTGTCACCCAGGGAAGGAGTCAATCCTGCTCAGGAGGGTGCCTGCCAGGGTCCTGTAGCTGCTTCCCAGCCCATTCCTGCCCTTTGGCCAGGGAAATGCCTGGAGTTTCAGGGTTGGACAGGCAGTGGAGCTTTCTTCCTCCCACGCCTTCCCTGGCAGATGCCATTCCCCACTGTGTTGCTGGGCTCTTTGGGGCAAAAGTCACCCACTGAGGAGGGACACGAGCCACTTGGACTAAAATACACAGCATATTGGGGCAGGAGACTGGCCACAGGTCCTGAGTTGTGTCAAGCCTCAGCAACTCTCTCCACCCCATCCCTCACCCTGGTCCCAGGAGGGCCCCAAGGATTGCAGGATGCTGTGCTACAGGGTGGGGATCAGGGTGCTGGGATGTGGGGTGGGGGTCAGAGCAGGTGCAAGGACACTACTGCACAAATCCTGCTATTTAGCTGCCTCTCCTCAAAATCAGTCACCCAGCAGAGTATCTCTGGGGTGAAACCCTTTGGAAAGTACCAGAGTAGGCAGCCAGAGGCGCTTAACTCGCTGCAAAATTAGGAATGAAAGGCATCTAACCCCCTGCAACCTATTTCCCAGCTAAAAGCCCCTGAAAAGCACCACTGAGGGCACAGCCTCACCATTTGCAGCAGGTCCTTGTCTCCTCAGTGTTCAGGCGGTGCTCCCAGGGTGCAGGGACCACAGCTGGGGGTTTGCCCTGCTCCCTGCCAAGCCCTGGCTCTTATCCTGTCCCAGCTCCACCTCTGACCCGCAGAGGGGGTGACGGTGACAGGGGGAAGGTGGGGGGGCAGTGTGTGGAAATGTTTTTAATAAATTTTGCCTAATGGCAGATGAAATCATCCCAGGATGTGGGTGGGTGGGTGCCCCCTTGCAGCTCCACCAGCTGCATTTGGAGGGGATTCCGGGAACCTGGGACAGCTCAGTTGTAATTGTTTCATGTTTGACTTGCAAGATGTTTTTTCTCCATCTAATTAGGCCTCCCTGCTCCTGTCAGGCTTGGTCATCACTTAAGGGAGGGAGAGAACTGCCCATGATCCCAGCAATGTGCATGACCTCTGGGCACTGTGCCTCACAAGGCCCCTCACAAGGACAGCTCCTGGTACCAGTCCGGCACTGTGTCCCTTCCCTGGCCACATGGAGGACATATCTACAGACATGTCACCTCCCTGCTTTGGCCACTGGATTGCAGGACACCAGTGGCTTGCAGCTCACCTTAATGCATTCCAGCTGGGACACCACTGGTTTGCAGGCACCTGCACCAGTCCAGCGTGGCCCAGCTGCCCAAGGTGGGTAGCAGCCTGTAGGCATTGCTGTGGGGTGGGCCCCATACACAAGGGTTTTGCTCCAAAGTTCTCCCCTTAGGGAGTGTGGGAGCATCCCAAGGCTCCTAGGCTGTGTGGGCACTGCATGAGGTGAGTTGTGGGTGCTCAGCCCCATGGGCTGGCCAGGAGTCAGACCACTGGGACTCTGCCCAGCCCTGTGGTCTGAACCGATGGGTGACCCATCCTGTGCCAGCCTCCCCAGGACAGCAGGGAACAGAAATAATGCCAGCTCTGTTCCTCCTCCCAGGGACAGCCAGGAACTCACACCCAGAAGCCAAAATTAGCTGGCAGCACTGATTCACATAGTACATCATGCAGCTCCACAGAGCCACGTGCTGACACGTCAGGCCCTGGACAGGGGGTCATGGCCTGGCTTGCATCAGCTGGGCATGTGCTGGGCACAGGGATGGGGCACTGGGCTCCCTGGAAGGGGTGAGCAACCCCAGCCAGCGCTGCCAGCAGTGGGCAGCTGGAAAGGGCAGCCCAGCTGGGGTGGGCAGGGGGCATGCCTGAGTCAAGAGCTGTCCCCAAACTCCACAGGCATCTCCGGCAACGTGCCAAGAAGTGTGACATCTCCCTGTGAGCACAGCTTTAATACACATCTCCCTGCATTGGTACACATAGACATTTGCTGTATATGGATATACACAGAGAACAGCAGTATGTGTGGGGGCCACAAAGCCCACCCAGCAGCCCTGGGGCTCTGGGGCAGTGAAGGGCACGTCCCTACTCAGCCCTGGGGATGGGGGAGCAGGGGCTGTGACATCACTTTCACAAAGCCTTTGAGAGGCTGGCGAGCAGGAACCGCTTCTAACATAGCACCATCCTCAGGGCTTCCCTGGCAGGCCTGGGGGGTGCAGGTGAGATCCCCCAGATTAAAGCCAGATGTGCTGCTGGCAGATGTGTGAGCTGGAAGGTAGCACATGGCAAGAGCCTCCAGTCTCCCCACAGGTCACTGCCAAACCATCGCAGCCACAAAAGGGGAACTGGGCCCTAGCTGAGGTTAAGGTGAAATTTATTCAGATGGAGCTCATGGCAGGGTGGGGGTGAGGGATGTTGTGCAGGGAGGCACTGCCTGGCACAAGGATGTGGGCAGCTCTCCCAGCAAAGACTGGGGAGCAAAGAGGGAGTTTGGGGGTCATTGGGGGGTAGGAAAGAGTACAAGGGTATTATGGGAGGGAGCCCAACTATGCCAAGTCCTACCTCTGCTTCCAGAGAGAGGGAACAGGGCTAAGAACCCTTCTGCTGGCAACAAATAATTTAAAAATCAAACTGAGAACAGCCCAGTGGGAACAGGGGGTTCAGAGCCTTGCTGGGAGGCAGTTTCCCATTTGACATAAATTTCACCTTAATGACAATAAACTGATATGAAATGAAAAACCCATGAGCAGCATAAAGACAGTTTAGAAATAGCACCAGGTTCCTGCTGGGGCTGGTGGGTCCAGGCTGCTGCCAGCACGGGCAGCCCAGCCCCAGCCAGGGCAGCACTGGGCCCCAGTTCCAGGCAGCCCAGCCTGCCGAGACACTGCCTGCACCTACACCTTTGGCTGCCCTCCCACCTTGCTGCCGGCACTGCCACGGGAATCTGCGGAGAGAAGCAAGGCGCAGTCAGAGCTGAGCTGGGGACCAGCACTGTGCCCCCAGCTCTGCGTTGCACGGCACAAGGCGGAGGTGCTGCTGTGCCAGGCGTGCCCACCTGGCCCTGGGCGCTGCCCGCAGCGCAGCTCGCACTCCTCCTTGCTGTCGAAGCGGTTGGGGTTGCCCCGGCAGCCGCTGTAGACGAAGGGCCGGCACTCGGTGACTCTTTGGTTGTAGTACCAGCGCAGGGTGTAGCGCTGGCAGTGCCCCTCGTCCAGCGGCAGCCGGCAGGGCTCAGCTGTGGGGAAAACGCGGCTGGTGAGGGCAGGCAGGGGCTGCCAGACCCTCTGGCACAGGAGGGGAAACCCCAGAAGGGCGAGGCTGAGCATGGGAAGGGTTTGGCTGGAGCAGATGTTTCTGTGCTCTGCCCAAGTGCTGGAATTGAGGGCAGGAGACTCCACTCTGTCTCCCGGGACAGCTCCCAGCAAAGAGTTGGGAGGGAGGTGGCGTGGGGACATGATGGCCACAGCATCCCTTGAAAGGATTATAGAGGGACTCTCCAAAGGCTGCTGCCACTGGGGCTTCCCTGATCTCCTGGGGCCTTTGGGATCCATCCTGTGGCTCATGACCAGAGCACAGGAAACCTGCCAGGGCAGCAGGTCCCACCAGCCCAGCACGCCACTGGTGATGGCTTCAGTGAGGGGGATAGAGCACAAGGTCTGCATGGTGTGGGCAGCACAGTGACAGAGAAGGTGCAACCCTCTCAAGTACCTGCAAGAGGGCAGGAAACCCCAAATCCCCCCAGACAGACGGCACAGGGACCCACTGCTCAGCTGGATGGAAAGACACCACCCCAGGAAACCCAGGGCAGCTCCATGGTTTCCCTCGGTAGCTTAGCTCTCAGTGCCAGGTGAGTGCAGGGAAGCTCACCATCCACTGTGGGCTGCTCCAAGCTGTCCATCTCTGGGACCTCATCGTAGTCCTCCTCCTCCCCATCCATGCTGTCATACACGAGGTCATCATTGTCGAGCATGATCTGCCTGTCCTGCCCTGGGAGACAGCACCACACGTGAGCAGTCCTCACCACACACATGGGGCACAGAAAAAGGGGGACAAGGACTAAAAGCACAGGGATGACACACCCTCATCCTCCTCTGTGTGTGATAACTTGAGCACAGGAACTATGTGAGCGCTGCCAGCAAGGAATGGCTGAGTGGAGGAGGACCCTGTCAAGGAGACACAGGCATCAGGGAAGAGGCAAGGGAGTCTGGGCTGCTTTCCCCTTATTTCCCAAGGGAAAACCACCCCTTTCAGGTGTGGAGCAGTGCAGCACTGCCCAACCCTGTTGCAGCCTGACAGGGTAGATGGACAGGGATGGTGGACCTGGAGATACCCCCTCCTCTCTCTGCACCACAGACCAGGGCTGCCATGGGGGCTTCTGGAGGAGGCACGGGCAGGGGAGGCCCAGAGAGACAGCACCCACTTGGAGCCCAGCAGGACAGGGGCAGGGGAGGGCACAGGGAGGCACACATGCCCATGTCACCAGATCTCACAGATCCTCCAGACTCTCCATCACCTGTTTGGTCATGCTCGTTCTCCTGGCGAACGATTCTTCCTGCTCCCTGGGCAGAGTGGAAGCTGCTCCTGGCCTGAGTCCCCCAGCCTCCTTGGAGAGAAAGCACCCACCTCATCCCAGCCCACCCCTTGCCTCTGTCCCTCCAATTCCACTCCTCCAGCCTACCCTTCCCTCCAGCATTGTTGACCCCTGCAGGACCCCTGCCCCAATTCTGACACCCAATAGATGGGGTACAGTTCCTGTGATCCCCTCAGCTGGGCAGACCCTGGCAGCACCCAGACCCCACTGGCACCATCCTGAGCCAGCTGTCCCTGGGATCCCTGTGCCATCATTTCTGCCACACACCTTCCCTTCTCCCTGTGCAGGGTCCTGCACTGATGCTAACCCTGACTGAAGGGTCATGGAGGGTGCCAGCCACCTCCAGCTCCCCAAAACCAGTGGCACACCTGGGTGCCAGGGCTCCTTTTGTGGCACACGTGTGGGGCAGGGGGATAGGAAGGAAGAGCTGCAACCTGAGTGCTCACGTGAATCCTGATGCCGTGGAAAGTGGCCACCACAGGCTGTGGGAGAGACAGGGTGGGGTCAGGGGTGGCAGGTCCAGACCCCCAGCCCCAGGGCAGCAGCGGGGGATGCTCACCACAGTGCTGGCTCATCTCCTGCCTGACGAAGGCACGGATCTCCTCCTCCTGCGGGGCACATGCAGAGGCAAGGGTAGTAATGGGGGATGGGGCAATTCAAGAGGAAGAATAACCCTTTCTCCAGGGTCTAGCAGAGCCCACAGGTGAGGGCAGCCCCTACCTCAGTGGCAGTGGGATGGATCCAACACCCCTTCCCACCCCAGTGACCTGAGTGCCACGAGCCTATGCTGGCTCCCTTCTGGCTCCTTACCGTCATTCCTGGCTCCCCCTTCTCCCCACGGAGCCCGTGGGGGCCAGGACTGCCCTGGGGACAGCAGAAAGGAGGTGGGAAGCTGGCCCTGGCTGGAGCTCATCCAGGCAGGGCCAGGCACCCAGACACTTACCTGCTCTCCTCTCTCACCAGGGATGCCAGGTATGCCACGTGCACCCGGCACTGACTGCCCAGGGGGGCCTCTCTCCCCCTGCAAAGGACACGTGCTCAGAAGCTGGCTGGTGGGTGCTGGAGTCTCTCTGCTCTCTCCAGCACCAGGGATGTGCTGCTTTCCCCACACCTGCACCCCAGGGATGCCAGTGCAGGTGGGGATGGGGACAGGTCTGGCTCAACACAAGGACACAAGGACAAGCAGGGCTCCAGATTCCTCCCCTTAGACTCCATCCCCTGGGCAGCGAGCTGGCAGGGCAGGACAGAGCTGGGACATGATTCCAGATGAGCAGGGTTCCAGATTCCTCCCCTCAGACTCCATCCCCTGGGCAGGGGGACACAAGGGAGGAACCCAAAGCCAGTGAGCTGGCAGGGCAGGACAGAGCTGGGACATGATTCCAGATGCCACCCACCTCTCACCCGCGAGGGGGACTGGGCCCTCACAGCCCCAGAGGGGACCAGTCACCTGTGGTGAGGACTTACCTTCTGGCCCTGCATGCCCTCAGGACCTCTTGGGCCAACGCTCCCTGAGGGCCCAGGGGGGCCAGGAGCACCGTCACTGCCCCGGGGACCAGGGCCACCCATAACACCCGGGGCACCCTGGAGGAGAGCAGAGGGTGAGGCCAGGGCTGTCAGAGCAGATGCCATGGACATCCTCTGACCCCACAGCTGGGCATCCCCAAAAAACCAGCACTGGTGCCTCCTTATAAAGAGCAGAGAATTGTTGTCAGTCCTGTTTAGTGACATAATTTAGAGCAGCACTGAATGACACTTCTGGGAGCATCAGGCTCTGATGTGCTTCCAACCAAGGCTGTGTCCTGGTACAAGCAATGTGGTGCAATGCATCCCATCCCTTTCCAGCTGCTCACCCGGTCTCCTTTCTCCCCCTGGTCTCCTTTGGCTCCCTGCTGCCCATCAAATCCCCGGTCACCCTGCAAAGAGGAAGGGACAGGCAGCAGGGGACACACAGTGGGGGGCAGGCAGCGAGGGGATGAAGTGCCAGCACAGCTTTTTTTCCCAGCACTGCTCTAACCTACCTTGGGTCCCATGAGCCCTTCCTTTCCAGGAATGCCCGGTGGTCCTGACAGACCCAGCTCTCCCTGGGGGACAAAGCAGATGTCCATCAAGCATCAGCCACGTTCTCCTGTCCCACCCTGGTGTCAGTGAGGTGCTTACCGGCTCTCCTTTCCTCCCTGACAGTCCCGAGCGCCCCGGGATCCCCGGCTCTCCCTACAGCAGGCAGGAGAGAGGCAGGGCACTCAGTCCTTCACCCCTCAATGCTCACCCCAGAGCCACAGGCAGAGGAGGGGACACCATGACCCTGTCACGGGGTCAAAGTCTGGCCTCAGCCATCTCCCCGCTCCTGCTGGCTGATGGAGGGGATCCAAAGGGCCACAGCCTCCACAAACATCCAGGCTCCTGCAGCACCCTGCAGGCACCCACTCACCTTCTCGCCCTTGTCCCCATTGAGGCCACAGGCACCTTTCATGCCCCGCTCACCCTGCAAGGATGGGAAGTCAGATCCACGCCAAGCCAGCACTAGAGAGCACTGACAAGCAGAGAAGCCAACCCACCTTGAGGCCACGCATGCCCAGGGGTCCCGTGTCCCCCTTCTCCCCCCGGGCCCCGGGGATGCCATCACGACCAGGCTGGCCCTGTGGAGAGCACACAGCGTGATGAGGGTCTGCTCCTGCCCTGCAGGGGTGGCAGAGCCACAAAGACAAACTCCTCACCGGCTCTCCAGGCTCTCCTGGCGCTCCAACCTCTCCCTGGGGAAGGCAAAGGCATCAGTCAGGGCAGGCAGGGGGATGGTGCCACCAGCATCCCCCAGCAGAGGGGCTGCCCAGCTCCATACCTTCTGCCCGCTAGGGCCACGTGCCCCAGGGAAACCCATGGAGCCCTTCTCTCCTTGTTCACCCCTCGTGCCCTGCAAAAGAAACCCAGATCAGCACAGGGCAGGAGGGAGAGCTCCAGCCACAGCTACCACATGGCCACAGCACAGCCATGGTCACCTCTGAGGCCAGTCTGGCAGGTACCCTTGCACCATGTCCCTGCTAGCACCAGCACACAGGGCACAGGGATGCTGTCATGCCCTGCTTCCTCTTGTCCCTTGCCCTGTCAATAGCCCTCCATGATTCCCAACCCAGCAGCTCCCAGCCCTGCACAATTCCCCCCAGCCCTGTACCTTCTCTCCAAGCATGCCTTGCTCCCCCTTGTCCCCCTTGTCCCCTTCTGTGCCCTTCAGGCCACGCTCTCCCTGCAAAGGAGGAAACACAGCAAGGGATCAGGGAATGAGGAGAAGATCAGACACACATCAGGGTGGGGAGGACAGACTCCCATGGGGGCCTGTAGGGGGAACATGGGGGTCTGTAGGGCGGCTGAAGGAGAGGGGACAATACACTCTGCAAGGGAGGGTCCCCCAGCAGGGAAAAACTCCAGCTCTTCCCAGAGGGACAGGAAGGATGGGCAGAGGGAGGACAGGCACAGCTCTTACCGGCTCCCCCTTGCTGCCCCGTGCTCCAGGCGGCCCCTCCACCACCACAGTATCGCCCTGTACACCCAAAGCAGAGAGAGGGGTGGGGGTAAGAAGGGGGGCCAGGGCTGCTCCCTGCCTTCCCACTGCCCCCCGCCCCAAGGACTCACCTTGTCTCCTTTGGGTCCTGGGGCCCCAAGGTCTCCCTGCGAGGATGAGGTGAGATGTTGCAACGATGCACAGCAGGGAGCAGGCAGCACCTCCCTGGGCACCAGCACCTGGAGGTGCATCACTGTCCCCCAGCTCCCCAGCCTGCAGAGCCCCTTACCTTGTCCCCACGCTCCCCGCGGTTCCCAGGCAAGCCCTGTGGGGGACAAGGGAGGTGTGGTCAGGAAGGGATCACCCAGATCAGGGTGCAGCTGAGGAAGGGAGGTACTTACTGCTGGCCCACGATCCCCTTCTGGCCCTGGGCGCCCATCCTCACCCTGCAAGAAGGAAGGGATATGAGAACAGGGTTTAGCTTGGGGTACCCCAACATCACCCCACCCCAGGGACAGCTGCAGCTCTGGCTCAGAGACCTGCCAGGCAGCATGTCCCTGGCTGTGGGGACATGGTGGGGACTGTAGCAGTACCTACCCGTGGTCCCGGGTCACCACGTTCACCTCTGGCTCCTGGCAGCCCAGCCCCTGGAGCACCCTGCCAGAGGAGGGCAAGAACTCATCCCCATCCTCACTGCCCACAGCCCCTCCCAGCCCTGCCGGGTACTTCCCATGCCAGGGACACCCCACAGTCCCCACCACCTCTCTGGGTGCCTGGCACACAGGAGGTTCCCATGTGCCACCACCCAGAGTGGGCTCAGCACCCTCAGGGGTGAGGTGGCTGCAGGGACACTCCACAAGAGAAGCAGCCTCCCACCTCTCATGCTATAGGGCTGCCCCTGGTCCTACCTTGTCACCCTTCAGGCCAGGGGCCCCTTGTATGCCCTAAAAGAAAGAAGAAGGGTGAGCAAACCATGGGAGGAAAGCAATGCCAGACACCCTGTAAACACCTCTGAGAGTCTCACTGCACACTCCAGCAACAGCCTGCCCCGGGGGCCAGGAGGTGCCAGCTGGTCCCTGTCAGCCTGTCTGAGGCAGCAGGGAAGGCAGGGCAGAGCCCACAGCCCCAGGAATGCTGTGGCACCATACTCACGGCCGGCCCTGGGGGCCCCACAGGTCCCGGTGGTCCAGCGGTGCCATCCCTGCCTGGAAAGCCGATCAAACCCTGGCAGGGAGAAAGCAGGGACTGGGCAGAGGCTGGGGCTGGGAAGCAATGGGGCTTCCAGGGACCTCACTGACACTGCACAAGGGTCCAGGGTCACCAGGACCAGTGGTGCCGTGTTCTGGTTGTAGTGTTTACCCTCTCTCCTGGGGGACCTGGAGGGCCAGGCTGTCCATTGTCCCCTCTCAGGCCTGGCTGTCCTGGCATCCCAGCAGGGCCTGCTAAGCCTGGGGGTCCTGGTAATCCTGGCAAGCCGGTATCACCCTGAAGTAGGGAAATAAAAGATGAAGTTCCTCAGGAGTGTGCTTTTCCCTCAGCCAGCTAAGCTAGAGCACCACTGGGGCATTAGGGACATGATCAGAGCCAGAGTGACATGGGGACAGGGGTTACCTTCAAACCTGGAGGCCCATCCTGTCCTGGTGGTCCCCGTGCACCAACGCCCAGCGATCCCTGCAAGGTGGCAGAGAGTGTGTGGCACATCACCTGGCTGGTGGGCACAGGGGTGCCAGGGCCATCATACCACCCAGAGCACCCCCCAGGAACCCCCCTGGGGGCAGGGGACACGTACCTTCTCTCCTTTGGCTCCAGAGGATCCCTTGGCTCCCTGTGAAGACACCAAGCCCCCAGGGAAGACCTGGGCAGTAGGTGGCAGGGGCACAGATCCCAGCCCCCACCAGCATCCACTGTCCCCAGTATCCACCCACCACCCCAATATGCCTTCTACTCACATCTTCCCCAGGATCTCCTGGCTCTCCAAGCTTTCCTGGCTCCCCCTGGCAGGGAAAAAGAAGGAAAAAGCAGATGTGTGGGATTATGAACTGGAGGAGCAGCTGCAGCTGGATCCCCACACTGTGGCCAAGCAGCCAGGAAGCCAAGGACCACACAACCCCTCCCCACTGACCCCCAGGGCAGCACTCACCTTCTCACCCTTGGGGCCTGGCAAGCCTCGGTCACCCTTGGAGCCCTGCCAGGGACAGCAGTGTTAGGGGACAGGGCAGCCACAGGGCTGGCTCTCCCCTCCAAAGGCAGGGGTGGTGGGAGGGGATAAATTAATGCTAGGGAAAGGTGGGTGAGGGGAGATGAGGGTAATGGGAGTGTTAAGGTTTGTGGGGGTGACTCACGGGCTCTCCCAGCAGCACACCCTCCAGCAGCGCCGGCTCACCCTGCAGGGGACACTCAGATGTGCCCACTGTGGATGCCAGGGCCCAGCAGACCCCTGCCCAGCCCAGCCCCCACAGCCTGGCTCCTTACCTTCTCTCCCTTGGCTCCAGGGGGGCCGGTGATGGCCTGGGGCAGAGGACAGAGTGGGCAGGTGAGCGGGGCTGCACAGGGATGCTCCCGTCATCCTGGCCAGGGCAGCTCTGCACTCACCTGCCCTGGGGCTCCAGCATCCCCTGGCTCTCCCTTGGGACCAGCAGGCCCCGAAGGTCCCGGTAAGCCCTGGCACAAGTAAACACAAGTGGCACAGCCCTCAGCATTAGCTGCAGACAAGCCAGGCTGAGCTGAGTGGGGGTCCCCCTGGGATGGAGCACCAACGTACCATCTTCCCAGGCATTCCTGCCTCGCCGTCCTTCCCTGGCACACCGTCCCTGCCCGGCACGCCTGGCTTCCCGCTCTCCCCCTGCAGGCAGTGAGAGTGGGGGTGGGATGTGGGGGCCCTACAGCCCCCCAGGCAGCCCCAAGCACCCTCATTGGTGGCAGCCAGATTGGGGGTGCCACACACTCACCACTTGTCCTGGCAGCCCAGGGACACCCGGCGGGCCCTGCAATGAAGACATGAGCAGAAATCAAGCAGAAATCAATCAATCCCAGGCACCAGGAACAGCCAAGGGGTGGGTTTGGGGTGCAAATACCTACCCCTGGGCCCGGGGGACCAAGGGGTCCTGGCAGGCCCATATTGCCCTGGGGGCCAGGCAAGCCCTGCAATGGAAACAGCCACATCAGAGAGAGGATGGCACAGCCAGCACCTTGGCTGCCCCCGTGGGAAGGTGTGCTGGGGTGGGACTGGCTGATTTTGGGGAGGCTGGATGGTTTTGGGCAGCCAGGTGGGTACTGGCAGGGAGGGTATGAGTACTCACACGGATGCCGGAGCCAGGTTCCCCCGGATCACCCTGGGAAGAACACGCTGCATCAGCCTGAGCACCCCAACCACCCAGCTACTTTGGTCACAGGCATACCTTCATAGCTGGATCCAGGAGGGGGTCCAGCCAAATGTCCCTCCCTCCAGCCCAAAACTTCCTGAAATGTGGTTCTCCCTCCCGTCCCCAAATCTGGCAAGGCACCCTTTCCCTCTGCCAGGCTGGACGTGGCAATGCTGATGCAAATGCCAGTGCTGCTGCCTTACCTTGGCACCAGCTGGGCCCTGGGTCCCTGGTGGGCCAGCGCTGCCCTGCAGGGGACAAGGGGACATTATTGGGGTGGTGCTTGCTGGAGGCACAGAACAGAGAGGGGGCAGCAGGACCACTCAGTCCCAGCAGTGCCACCCCACCTCTGCTCCCTGGGGGAATGCCCACCCTGGCTGACATCGCCCTTGCATGACAGTCCCTGCACGTGGTGCAAGGTGGCTCCTTACCGGGGGTCCTGGGGGTCCTGGGTCTCCCTGATTGCCCTGAAGGGTGGAAGAAATAGGATCACTGCAAAAGTGGGTTTTCCCCCGTGGGAGCAGGGGGTGTCCCCAGGGAGAGCAGACCCAGACAGTGCCAGCAGCTCTGGTAAGCAAGCCTGGACAGGTCCTGCTAAGATGCAGGGGGCCAAGGACCCAGCCCAGCAGCAGGGTGACCCCCAGGGTTTCACCAAGCATTCACAGCCAGGAGCCCCTGGCTGTGTGCTGAGGTGGTGGGGCACAGGGAGACACACAGACACCTACCGGGCGTCCCAGCACACCAGGAAAGCCTGGCAAGCCCTGCAAAGAACCACATCAGAGTCAGTGCACAAGGGGAAACCCAACACCTCCACACAGCCCTGCCTGCCCCCCAGGCATGCTCCCCATTCCCCGTGTGTGGTACCCAGCCAGGGCACTTAGGAGGGGCAGGAGTAGGAAGAGGCCCCCAAATCCCAGGCACTGCATGGGGAGAAGGAGGCGAATGAGGCATAAATGCTCTTGCTGGTGGTGGCTGGTGTGAGACCTCAGGAGCTCCCCCAGTCCCGGCCTGCATCTCCCCACCATGTCCCCACTCACCGGCTTCCCCTCAGGGCCTGCCAGCCCTCTCTCACCCGGGAGACCCTGGAGCAAAGGATGGAGACAGGGATGGGGTCAGTGCCAGGCAGGTCGGTGGCAGTGCCAGGCAGGGGAGCAGTGTGGTACTCACGGGGCTGCCATCCCTGCCCTTCTCGCCAGGCTCCCCTCGATCACCCCTCAAGCCACCTTCACCCTGCAGTGGGGACAGGCACGGGGTCACAAGAGAGGCAGGCACCTTCCCACGGCCTCCCAGGGCCTGCTGAGGGGTGTGCCCAGCAATGCCCTCACCCAGGGCTTTGCTCCCTTTGGCATGGGACACTTATAACCTCAGACCTTGTCTCCTTTGGGTCCCCGCTCGCCCTCAGCTCCGGGCTCACCCTGTGTTGGGAAGAAGACAGATGCCATCAGCCCTCACTGCCCCTCTACCCACCACCATCCTCAGCCCCAGCCCAAGATGTTGCCCCAGCTCTGTTGTCTCAGCTGCCTTCACCTTTCAGACCAGCCACACACCTTGGCTCCTTTGGGTCCGAGGGGGCCGCGTTCGCCTGGGAGGCCCATCAGGCTGCCCTCCACCACGTCCACCTGCGGGAGGGCACAGTCAGGCCCAGCACCCAGGGGACCTCAGGAAGGATCCCTCAGGGGCAAAGACAAGGGACTGGATGTGGTCATCCATCCCCAGAGGGGCAGGCTGGCACCTTGATGATGGTCCCCAGCAGCAGCCATCACCTACCTTGGGCCCTGGGGGCCCTGGGGGTCCAGGCAAGCCATCCCTTCCCTGCGAAGGGCAGAGAAATAGGTTGAGTGTCAAAGGGCATGGGAGAGCAGAGCCTTCCCGGTATGGCCAGGAAGGCATGGAAATGGGCATCTGCCTGCCCCATCCCCTCAAGAGGGGCACAACACAAAAGGGGATGGAGGGCACCATGTCCCAGCCCAGCTCACCTGCTCTCCTCGGTCGCCCTTCTCGCCTCGGTCACGCCCTGTGAGAACACCGTGGTGGCTGTCACGGGCCTGTCCCCAAGCCCCTAGACCAGGTCCCCCAGGCTTCACCTCGCACCTCCACACACACTCACCTTCTCGCCGGACCTCCCGGATTCCCCCAGCTCCCCAGCCCGGCCCGGCACCCCAGGAATGCCTGGCTTGCCAGGCTCCCCTGGCTGCCCAGGCGGGCCCTCGGGACCCCGCTCACCCACGGCCCGGCCCATGGGGCCCTGGGGGCCGGGGGTACCTGGGTCTCCCTTGTCACCTTTGGGTCCTCGCTCACCAGGGAAGCCTAAGGAGCCCTGCAAAACAAAAGCTGCTTTGCCAGAGCCAGCCCTGAGGCGGGGCTGTGAGCCCTCCCCGAGCACCCAGGGCTGAGCCGGCTGCTTGAACCCCCAGCCAGCCCAGAAAGCAGGAGTGGGCAGAGTGCTGGGGCTTGGCATCGAGCCTGGCTCCACTCACCTCTCGGCCTGGGGGCCCCCTTTCTCCTGGATCCCCCCGACTGCCCTTCTGGCCCCGCAGCCGCTCGACCACCGGCGGAAACGAGTCTGAGCTCCCGTCATAAGCACCCGTGAGCTCCTTCAGGGATGAAACCTGGGAGCAAGGAGAGAGCCACCGGTCAGGGAATAAGGAGAACCCAATTGTGGCAGCACCCCACAGTCCTGCCAACCCATCCTAAATTGCTTGGATTCCCCACCACCTCCCATGCCCTCTTCCTGCTGCCATGTGGCAGGAAAAAGCCCCAGCCTGACAGTCAGGAGATACATACCTTGATGCCAAGTGCTTCCAGGCTACGTTCAATGTTCTGCAATAAAAAGACATTAAAAACAAAGTAGGTTCCCACCACAGAGGCTGTGGATGGTTCTCTGTCCTCCAGGGCTGATGCTGCTGTCCCAGCTCAGCAGGTCAGGGTAGGACTCACCACTGTAGTCCCAGGGTCTCCACGTGCTCCAGGGCTGCCAGGTCGCCCCTAGGTTTAGAGGAAAAGAGGGAGTGAGAAGATGTACAGAGGTGCAGCAACCTTGGAAGGTTTCAGAGTTAACACTTTGCTGCCTGGGCAGGGGCTGTGGTTGTGACTGGGGTGCTCGTAGCTTGTCAGGCTCGGTGCTGGGTACTCACCGGCTCCCCTCGCAGTCCAGGCTCCCCTGGGTCCCCCTGAAACACAGCAAAGGGATCAAGAGGAGCAGTCAGGCTGCTCGGCACCAACTGCAGCACCAGGGTCCAGCCCTGTTTTCTTGGGGGTGGGACTCCTGCCAGGGGCTTATTCCCTCTGGCACGTGGTCCCCCCCAGACCTTTGCCTTGGGGGACTGGGGGCAGGAGCACACTTACCTTTGGTCCAGCCACCCCACGGAGGCCTGGGGAGCCCTAGAAGACATGGAGGTGACACAATAGCACCCAGCCCCCATGGACACAGGGCAGTGCCCCGAGGGAGCCATGGATGGACTCCAGGGTCTGAGTGGCACCACGGGGTGGAGAATTACACACCTGGCCTGGGGGGCCAACCTGCCCTGGGACACCGGGGAGGCCAGGGGGGCCGAGGGGGCCTGGCACACCTCTGTCCCCCTGCTCGCCCTTGGCACCACTGCGGCCCTGCCGAGAGAGCAGTGTCACCCTCAGAGTCTGGGACCAGGTCTGTGCCTGATGGGGGCATGTACCCAGCACCCCCACCACACACTCCTCTTTGGGGAGTACTCACCTCTCTCCCAGGCAGTCCTGCATCACCTTTGTCTCCCTAGCCAGGACAGAAAGGAGTTGGAGGGATGCTGCCCCATCCATGTGCCCCAGAATGGTGCTCCTGGTCCGGGCAGGGTGGAGCCACTGGGCTTGTGGGGATCACACAGGGACCACACAGGAACCACCCCTGGACCACCTCCTTACCTTTCTCCCATCTTCTCCTGGTGTCCCATCTTCTCCCTGGGAACAAAGGCTGCCTGTCAGTGCCCCACTCAACTATCTCAGGATGGGTACAAACTGGTGGATGGCTCAGAGCATGGGGGCTCTTTGCCACATGCTCCCCTTGCCTTACGTTGTACTGGGATCACTATCCCTCAGCATCCTGGGAGAGCCCCAAAGCAAACCCTGTTTCCCCTACTCACATTCTTGCCATTCAGGCCAGGTTTGCCATCCTCACCGGGTTTGCCCTGGGAGGAGAAGAAAGGCAGTGAGGGAGCCCCATCCAGGCTCTCCACCAGCCAGGGGCACCAGCAGCCAGGGGTGCCTGGAGCACACTGGAGCCTCAAGGTGCATGGAAGGGGGAGCTGGGCACAGGATCCTGCCAGATGGATCCAGCTGGGGTCCAGAGAGGGCATGGGACAGGATGTGTCCCTAGGGTGGGACAGGATGTGTCCCTAGGGTGCAGGTTGGCTGGTACTTACAGGCACGCCAGGTGGTCCCAGGGGACCCACAGGGCCAGGTGGTCCCTGCTCCCCACGCAGCCCAGGCAGCCCCTGTAGGGAAAGGAGGTGGTGGGAGCACAAGGCAGCAGGGCACCCATCTGCCACAGCCAGCCTGGGAGCGGGGAGTGTCACTGGCAGTGGCACTCTGCTGGGGACAGGGAAGGGTCTTGGTGCACTGCATGGGAGAGGACACTGGTCCCTTGCAAGCCTGATGGCCCCAGCAGGAACACAGCCTAAACCTGCCCTCTCCAGAGGTACTTACATCCCGGCCAGGATCTCCCTGCTTTCCTGGATCCCCCTGCAGACAAGGAGAAGGTGAGGACAGGGACACTCCTACCCTGCCAAAGCTGCCCCTCCAGAGCACCCCCAGCCTGGAGCAGAGGGTGTACGGGGGTACAGCTCCTCCCACCCCACCATCCCTCTGTCCCACAGCTCCCACCCGTGCACCACGCACAGACACTCCCCCACACTCACCCGTAGCCCAGCGGACCCCTACCCTCCAGAGCACTCCCAGCCTGGAGCAGAGGGTGTACGGGGGTACAGCTCCTCCCACCCCACCATCCCTCTGTCCCACAGCTCCCACCCGTGCACCACGCACAGACACTCCCCCACACTCACCCGTAGCCCAGCGGACCCTGGGGGCCCAGGTTTGCCTTCCAGCCCGTTGCGGCCATCCAGCCCTGGCGGGCCTCGGTCCCCCTGTAAGAGAGCAGGAAAGGATGGCTGGAGCTTTGGGGTGGGGTGGGAGTGCTGTGGAACAACCCTCAGCCCCCAGTCCTCTCACCTTCTCTCCTGGCAGGCCTCGGTCCCCAGGGTCACCCTACGGGCCAGAAGAGAAGTGAGCATCATCTCCCATTAACAGGAGCTGCACAGGGACACGGTGCCCATTCAGACCCCCCTGGGAAAGGGGACACTTACCCGTGTGCCAGGGGGGCCACGGGGGCCCTCCACACCCTGCAAGAAAGAGACACTCCCAGCAGTGGGGCATGGGGGTAGAGGAGGGGGTCCTGGCTGCTCAGCAGGCAGTCCCTGCACACCAGGACCCCCACCTCTCCTGCAGAACATCACCCCTCATGCTGCCCCAGTGCCTCCCACAGCAGGGACCCAGCACCTACCCTCTCTCCAGGCACTCCAGGGGAGCCAGCATCACCCCGGGCACCCTTGGCGCCGTCCTCACCCGGGTCCCCAGGGTCCCCCTGCCAGGGAAGGGCACGGTGGTCAGAGGGTACTGTGCTGTACCAAGCCTGTGCCAGAGTACACAGTGCTGGTGCTGTGTGCTTTAGGGGTGGGATGAGAGGAACAGTCTCAAAGTAAGAGGCACAGGCTGAAAAAGAGGTGGCTGGGCTCAGAGCAGCTCCTGCTGGGGCAGTGGGGGCCAGAGTGTGGCTTTAGAAGAAAGGCACCGAGCAGAACTGCTGAGCCAGGAGCCAGCTCGGCCACAGCTGGGACCACAGTGCCTCCCAGCACTGAGCACAACCTGTGGCCAAAACTGTCCTGAGCCTAAGCTGGGTTGCAAAAGCAGGATGCCCAGAGTGTTGGGTGTTGCCACGGGACCCCTGAGGGGCTGGGGAACCAGGAGCACAGCAGTTCCTTTGGAAACCTCAGTCCTACAGGGCCTCCTCCCACCACAGGGCGCGAGTGTCAGCCCCTGTGTCCCTGAGTTCCTTGTGCCTCTCAGTCGTGGGGCACATCAGCTGCATGTGGCAGAGGCTGTTTTGGGCAGGGAGGGCTTGATGAAGGATCCCAGTGGCCAGGCAGATCCCAGAGGACAGCAGAGGGTATCCCACCACCAGCACCCCAAGGACTCACTCATTACCTTCTCACCCTTTGCCCCCACTCCTCCGAGCCCAGCATCGACCTGTGGGACAGAGAGGAGCTGCTGGAGCACACGGGGCTGGACACCAGCCCATGGGCACGGAGAAGAGGGAGGCAGAACTTACAGCTCGTCCTGGGGGTCCGGGGGGCCCCTGAAAGAAGGGCAAAGGGAGCAGATTAAGGGGAGCTGGCACAGCCCTGGGGAGGGCACAGCTGGCTCTGGGGTGGGGGGCCACATGTGGCCCTGCCATCACTCACCGGGTCCCCACGGTCACCCTTGCTCCCTGGTGCTCCAGGGCTGCCCTGCAGGAAAGAGGGATTGAGTCAGAGGGGGAGGGAATGGGGGAGCTGTGGGGTGTGAGTCCTGTGGGATGGGGGTTACCCCTGGGGTGAGGGTGGGTGTGGGACAGTGAGGTGTTAGGGGTGGTGGGCATCCACAGAGTAGTGGGCACATACAAGGGGGTACTCACGTTCCTGCCTTCAGGTCCTGGGTCCCCCAGGTCACCCTTCTCCCCGGGGGGACCACGGTAGCCAGGAAGGCCCTGGGTGGAGGGCAAAGGGAAGATGTGCATTAGCAGGAGCCACCTGAGGCCATGAGTCTCTCCTGCCCACGGTGCCCAGCAGCCCTGCACTTACCCGGGGACCCCTGTCTCCAGGCTTGCCAGGCAGACCTGCTTCACCCTGTGGGGCAAAAGGGGGTGAGAGGGGGGCAGTGGGACGGGGGGCAGTGGGAACAGGGGCAGTGGTCCTGGGGACCCTCACTTACCGGCGTGCCTTCGTCACCTTTCTCTCCTCGCTCTCCCTGAGGCACAAATCAGTGGGCACCGGCCAGGAGAGAAGAGTACAAGTCACCAGCATCCCCCTGCTCCCTGCCAGCCCCCCTGTCCTCAGGGCCACAGTGCCCCACAGCCCCTTGTTCCACACTACCTCCTTGCCTCGCAGCCCGATCTGCCCAGGGGTGCCTGCTCGGCCTGGCTCCCCCTTCTCCCCTGGCTCTCCTGGGTCACCCTAGGCACGGGAAGGGGCAACAGTCAGGGCAGAGTCTGGGCAGCTGGGAGAGAAGGGGCACAGCCTGCAGGAACAGCCCCTCTAGAGCCAGCCAGACAGACAGATGGACGGACAGATGAATGGAAAAGCAGTGACGTCACCTTTGGGCCACTCCTGCCTGTGAGGCCAACGATCCCCTGGTTGTTGGAGAGGAAGAGCAGGTGTCACTGGGAGCCCTGGTGACCCCTCGCCCGGGGAGGGACCAGGCCACGAGCTGGTGCCCCCAGGGTGCCCCCAGACTCACCCGATCGCCCTGCTCGCCTTTGGGGCCAGCTGGCCCTGGGATGCTCAGGCCAGGGGGACCCTAGACATGAAAGGGCACAGCATGGAGCAACAGCACGGGCACCACGAGTCTGGAGAGGGCTGTGCCATGTGCCCTGTGCTTCCTGTCCTCAAGGCAGTACTCACACGGGCACCTTTATCGCCTGTGTCACCCTTGGGGCCAGGAGGTCCTTCTGGTCCGGGGAAACCTCTTTCACCCTGGAGCAGACAAAATCAGCACCCAAACCACCCATTTTCCCCCCACTGCAGCTGTGGACCAGGCTTAGGACCAGGATGAGCCCAACTGTGCAATGCCCCTCCCCAGCCCACAGCTGTGCCCAGAGGCTGGAGGGCACAGCTGGGCCAGGGTTACCTTCTCTCCAACACCAGCCACGCTGGGAGCCTGGAGGGGAAGCAGAGGAGACCATGCTGGGCACTGCCCATGGCTCCCTGTCCTGGGGCTGGGGCAGGTAGAGGTGGAGGTGCTGGGCACCATCACTTACTGGCCTGCCAGGCGGTCCTGGATCACCCTGCAGAGAGACAGGTGTCACTGCCAGTCCCTTCCCCAACAGACCCCTGCCACCCCACCGGGACCCCTCTTTGCCCTCACCTTCTCCCCGCGGGGGCCAGTCGGTCCTGGAGCTCCCTGTGGCAAGATTGGAGATCTCAGGGGGCGGGCAGTGCCTGGGAATGTGCACCCAGAGCATGGCAGCTCCTGGCTCCACAGCACCACACCCACTACCCTGACTCACCTCTCTGCCTGATGGCCCTGGGTGCCCTGGGGCTCCCATCTCACCCTGCAGGAGAGGAGGAAGAGGAAGGTGGGTGGGCATCCTGCCATCCCCTGCCAGGGTGGCTGCTCCAGGGCAGAGCAGGCATCACTCCACCATGCCCCAGTGCACCTACCTTCTCACCCTCTGGGCCTGGCACACCGCGGTCTCCCTGCAGAGCAGAGCAGAGGAGGGTTTCAAGGAGCCTTCCTCCCTCTACATCTCACTGCCCCCACCCCACACACTGCCCCAGAGCTCTTCACGAGTCAGTCCTGAATCCCAGCCAAGACCACTGGGGTGTGACAGCCATCCCCAGGCACTGCTCCCACCAGATCTCAGGGACACCAGGACCAGCCAATGCCACCTTGCCCTGGCCCCTCTCACCTTCTCACCCGTCTCTCCCAGCTCGCCCGGTGCCCCACGGTCTCCCTAGTACAGGAGGAACAAAGGGTCAGGGGCAGCAGGACCTCTGGGGGACACCCTGGTTCCTGTCACAGAACCCAGAACCCCCTTCTCTCTGCCAAAGGCATGGCAAGAGCGTCCCCTCGGTCCCTGCACCACTCACCTTCCTGCCCTGCTCCCCCGGCGGTCCCCGAGGACCCTGCAGAGGGGAATGGAGACCTTGTCACCTTTGGTGTTGTCACCTTTGGTGTGACAAGGCAAATGCCCAGGCTGCTCAAAGCAGGAGAGCTCAAGTGTGCCCTCGGGGCTCAGCTCTTGGCATGGCCAGCTCCAGCCTGCCTTACCTTCTCTCAGGAAACTCACCCTGTCTCCTGGGTCCCCGGGGCGGCCAGGTGAGCCTGGAAAACCTTCTGCACCATCACCCTGTGGATTTGGAGAGGTGATAGCCATGCTCATGACGCAGGGATGCCCATTAGATGGGAATTCTCACTGGAGAGTGCTGTGAGGTCCAGCCCCAGTGGGGAGCATCCCTGCCACCTTCTTACCTTCTCTCCCTTCAGGCCAGGGGGCCCAGCAGGTCCCCGAGGCCCAGGGTCCCCAGGGAGGCCCTGAAAGAGAGAAAATCTCAGCCCCATGCAACTCAGCCCTGGGCACACACAGCCACTGAAGCCCTGATCCCCTCTGCCAACCCTGTTGGCCCGGGGGCTCAACTCACTGGGGGTCCAGGGTCCCCTCGAGGTACTGCCCCATCTACGAATCCAGGGGGGCCCTGCAGAGAGAATGGTCAGCTCCTGTGTGGTTGCCCTGAGGGCTCAGTCCTCCCCAGCACCCTGAGGGGCTGCAGTGCCCCAGGACACTCAAGGGACCCCCATCCAGTAGGGCAGAGGAGTCAGGGAACTGCACAGCCACTCACCCTTTCTCCTCGGTCACCCTTTTCTCCCTGCAAGGGCAAAAAAAACCAAATAAGAGCAGATCTGGGCTGTTACCATGCCCTCCTTGAACAGAAGAGGAGCATGTAGGTAGAGCCCATCATCAGTGGCATTAGGGTATGTGCATGCCAAGTGCCTCACCCCACACTGCCCAGTGCCAGCCACAGCTCAGGCATGAGCATCTGTGTGCAGGCACAGCTGGTGAGGGCACAGCCCACAAGCAGGGCCAGGAGGAGTCCAGGGGGGAGCCAGCTCCAAGCAGCTGCCTGTTCCCCCATCCCTGTGCCCACATGTCCCCCAGCCATCCCCATGCAGCACCGGGGGGATGTACCTTCACAAACTCTCCTGGAGGTCCTGGTAGCCCCATGGGTCCGAGTGGACCAGGAGGGCCCGGATCACCAAGAGGCCCCCGTGGGCCAGGGATCCCAGGTGAGCCGGGGCTGCCCTGGAGGACAGAGGGGCTCCATCAGCTGAGGCTGAGGTGTGGGCTGGGGGTGCTGGCAGAGACCCCTTCACATCCATATTCCCACACCTACCGGCACACCCGGCTCCCCTCTTGGGCCTGGCAGCCCCTGTTCTCCATCCGTGATCACCCTGGGCTCTCCCTGCACGAGGAGGGGGAGGAAAAACCAGTGACCACATGTGCCCTGTTGTGGCCACAGTGCCACACGGCCAGGAGTCTGGCAGGGAGATGGGGAGACCCTGGGGCCAGGAGATGCCAGATACCAAGATGTGCCCACCAGGGTCCCCAGTGCCCCCCAGGGACCCTGTGGGACAGCCCCTGTCCATCACCTACCGGTTCACCTTTCTCCCCCTTTGGGCCAGTAAGTCCCATGGGCCCACGTGTCCCCTGGGAAGGAAAGATGAGAATGAGAGGGGGTGTTGGGTGTGAGAAGGGTTGGGGAGGGTAGGGTTGGGGCCATACTCACAGGATCCCCTCGAGGGCCAGGGATGCCCTGGATGCCCTAGAAAACAACAGCTCAGGAGGTGAACACACCCCTGCCAGCCAGGGGAGTAAGGATGGGATGAGATGGAGTGGGGTGGGGTGGCATGGCATGGCATGGCATCTCCAGCCAAAGCAAGGCTAGACAGTACACTTTGCCTGGGATACACACACAGGAGACAGCAGTGACCCTGCCAGCTGCTGAGACTCCCCCAGCACAGGGAGCAGGGAAGCAGAGGCTGGCTGAGGGAGCAGGCAGGGCGATGGGAAGAGCCCATTGTGCAGCAGCAAAGCCAAGGGACACCCTTACTCACTGGCTGCCCAGGTGATCCAGGATTCCCAGGGCGTCCAGGGCTTCCTGGTGCCCCATCAGCTCCAGGAAGTCCCTGCAGGACAGAGGAGTATCATGCCAGCATCTGGTGTACCCCAGCACTGCCAGACCCCTTCAGTGCCCCAGGCAGTACTGCTCCCAGCCTTGGGAGATCAGGGCAGCCCCAAGGCAGAGCTGGGTTCCAGGGAGCCTTTCCCCATGTGCTGAGCTGGGGTGTGTGGGTGCAGTGTGGGGCTGGGCTGGAGTTCTTCAGTGGGATTTCCCCTCCAGCATAAATGTGGAGACCAAGTGGACAAAGTGCAATGAGAGGCCCCATGGAGCCAGATCACTGTGTTCAGGGATCCTGGGGTGCCTAGGTGAGGGGCCAGAGGTACTCACCCTGTCCCCCTTCTTGCCCAGACCCTCAGCACTCTCTCCTGGAGGACCCTGTGGCCCTGGTGGTCCTGGAGAGCCAGGAAGCCCGTGGCGACCCTAGAGACACAGGGGACAGGACAGGCTGAGTGGCAGGTGGTGGTCAAGAGGTGTTGCCTGTCTACCCCTGTAGCAAGGGCTGGACAGGTCCTTGCCCCACAGCCACCCACTGGCAGGACAAAGGGACCAGGGAACATGAGGACATGAGGACCATGACACTGCCCTCCCCAGGGAGCTGTCCCTCTTATGCCCCCCTCCATCAGCTTATTACCGGCTGCCCAGGGAGACCTGGTGGTCCCATACGTCCTTGCAGTCCCTGCAGAGACAAAGCCAGTAGTCAGCATCCCCTGTGAGCTGATGTTAGCATGGCTTGGGAGATGCAAAGCTCCCAAAGCCACCAGCTGGTGGCGGGGTGTCACCAGAGCACTCACTGCCTCACCGCGGTCTCCCTTCTCGCCCTGCAAGGGGACAGAGGGAAGGGGTTAGGGGCTGGCACTCTTGTGCTCAACTCCCCACTGAACTTCTACTGTCAGCAGCTAGGGGTCCATAACCCATGCTGAGCACCTGTGGCACAGCACAGCACGGCACAGCCTTGAGAAACTCACCTTGGGGCACTTCACAGTGCAGGGCTGTGGCTTCGGCGCCGGCTGGCAAGAAAAGACAAGCCTGTGTGAACCCAGGGATCGGAGACCCCCCGGCTTACATGGGCAGCTCCCCCTGCACACCCCTGGGGTACTCTGGCCCTTACCCTGGTGGAGATGATGGTGCAGAGGTCATCAGTGAGCTCTCCCTCCAGCTCTGCCAGGTCGCTGCCATGGTAAATGTACCGTGGGTCCTCACTGGTGACCATGCGCTGGAGCTGCTCCCGGTCTGCCCCCTCCAGGCCAACTGCCAGCACCTGGACCCCTGAGCAGAGAGCACCCTCAGCACCCCACAGGACTCCCTGCACACCCTGATGAGACCCTGTTAATCCTCACCCCCAGCCTTGACATCCCTGGCCACGGTGATGGCATCATCCCCAGAGGGGCTGTCAGCCAGAACCACCAGCACTGCTGGCACACCGGGACGGCGCCCTGCACCAGGACTCAGCAGGTAGGTCCTGGCAAAGGAGATGGCTGCCCCTAGAGAGGGAGAAGGAAGAAGGGACAGTCAGCAGGATCCTGGAAACCACTGCCCCAGCTCCTCGTGCCGGCCCTCACCGATGGCGTTGCCGCTGGGCTCCTCATAGCGCATGGCACGGATCTGCTCCAGCACAGTGGGCAGGTCACCGGAGCGGTTGAGCAGCAGCCAGGGTAGGCTACGGTAGCTGTATGTGGCCAGGGCCACCTGCAAGGGTGCAGGGGAGCAGTGGGCACCACGGCCCACCCACGACCCCCTGTGTCCCAGTGCTGTGGCAGCAGCCTACCTGTGTGCCCTCGGGGCCCAGGCGGCCCAGGGCAGACACGGTGTTGGAGAGCAGCGTGCGGACAGCATTGGCACCAGAGGAGCTGTTGCGGGTGCCGTGTACTAGAAAGACCACGTCACCGAGGGCATCCCTGCAGACTGCAGGACGGGAAGGGGGTGAGGCCACCACCAGAGTGGAGACAAGCCCAGCCCACCCCTGCAGGGACCCCACAGTACCTGTGCGCTCAGTGACGGACGCCTCGGCACCGGGTGTGCTCCCCAGGAGCGGCCGGAGGGTGAAGGTGTAGCGCTGGCCCAGGCGCAGCCCAGAGACCTGCTGGGAGCTGGCAGTGCTGGGCAGCGTCCGCCCCTTCTCCCCACCAGCTGCCACCCAGGGGACAGTCAGAGGGATCAGCAAGCCCCTGCGGGGATGCTGCCCACCGTCCTGAGGCCACCCACTCCTCTCACCTGCAGGAGGGCTCCAGGAGAGGACATAGCCAGACGCACTGGGAATTGGGGTCCAGGTGAGAGTCACCGAATCCCTCTGCACCTCTGTCACCCGCAGGCTGGTGATGTGGCTTGGGGCAGCTACCAAGGGGGAGGAAAGGGTGTCCCAGCTTCATGGGGCAGCCCTCAATATGCTCCCTCTCCAGCCCAATGCTGGGACAGTCCAGTCCCTGGGTGCCCCTCTGGGCTCAAGCCATGTGTCAGGGGCTTGTGCTGCCTTGGCCCCAGGCAGTCCCTTACTGGTGATGGCAGTGATGGTGGCTGGCTCGCTCTCCCGGCTGCCAGCCAGGCTGGTGATGCTGATATGGTAGTGCCGGCCCGGTTCCAGTCCCGCCAGGGCATAAGAGCTGGAGGTGGCTGGGAGCTGCTGGCTATGCTGGGGCCCCCCTGGCAGGGGCAGAGAGAGGTGAGGGGGTGCAGGTGGGGGCTGGCAGGGATGCAGGGCTCCAGCCAGCTGTGCTTACCTTCAGCCAGGCGCCAGAACAGACGGTACCCGGTGCTGCCAGCCACTGGCAGCCAGGCCAGGCGCAGGCGGTGCTCCGAGGCCTCGGTCACCTGGAAGCCGCTGACGGGGCGTAGGGGGACTGCCTCCGCTGCGGAGCACAGGGGCAGGCGTCAGGGGCAGGAGTGCCCAGTGCCACCCGGGGTGATGTCCCCTGCCCCAGCACTCACGGGTGGTGACCACAACGGAGACGGGGTTGCCTTCCCGGTTGCCAATGAGTGCCGTCACCTTCACAGTGTAGGAGACGCCTCCCTCCAGGTTGGGGATGTCAAAGGAGTTGGTGTGGCCAGGAACTCGCCGGCTACTCTCCGACCCCCCTGCCAAGGACTGTGGCATCAGGCCCCCCACCCTGCTGCCCTCACAGCCCACCCCCATCCCCACCCCACAGTACCATCCCTGCGGCTCCACACCACACGGTAGGCAGTGGCTCCCGGCACACCGACCCAAGTGACACGGGCAACATTGCTCCTGGATGCCTGCACCTCCAGCTGGGTCACCTTCCCCACCTGCTCCGGCACTGTGACACCAAGAGGGCCACTGTCACCCTGGGTCACAGCCAATGGCACCAGACAGCACTGTCAGGCAGGGGTTACCTCACCTATCCGTCCCGTGGCAGTGACAGGGCTGCCCTCACGGCCATCCACAATGGCTGAGACACCGACGGTGTAGACGATGTTGGCGTGCAGCCCATCGATGGTGAAGGTGGTGGGGTCAGCAGGGAGGAAGCGGGATTTCTTCAGACCTAAGAGATGGCTGGGATAGGAAGGGCTCCAGCACTGCTGCCACAGCACCCCATGGTCCCTACACTCACCGTCACTGCCTTGCCACGTCAGCAGGTAGCCCCCAGCACCTGGGAGCCCTCGCCAGGTGACCCGCAGCTGGCTGGGACCGGCCTCCATCACCCGCAGATCCGAAATGCTGCCCACCTCTGGATACTCTGCACCACCCCACAGCATCACAGCATCACCTTGGGGAGTCCAAAGGGACCCCACAGCCGAGCTGCCATCCCGAGGGGTTGCAGGGGGATAGACGCAGCTGCATGCCAGAGTGGGAACATCAAATACCAGAACTCCTGGCACCAAACCCTGGCATGGACTTACTGAGGCGGACGGTAAGCGTGGCAGCACTGCCCTCCCGGCTGCCCGCTAGTGCCGAGACACGCACCAGGTAGGTGATGCCCTCCCGGAGGTCACCAAGCTCCAGCCCCGTCTGGCTGCCTGGGATGCGCCTCGTCCTCTCCGTGCCATCTGCCAGGAGTAGGGCAGTGCAGTGGCTCGGTGGCAGCTGCTCAGGATGCCCCAGGTGCCACCCGTAGCCCTGCCCACAGACTCACCCTGGTTGTTGCGCACCACCACTTTGTACTCGGTGGCACCGGGGACACCGGTCCAGCTCAGCCGTACCCACCTGCCCGATTCCTCAACGAGCCGCAGGTCTGACACAGCACCCACGGGTGCCTCCACACCTGGGAGGGGACATGTGAGGCACAGCTGGAGTGGCACAGCCTGGACAGCACAACCCCTGTACTCATCCTGGGCTGTGACCAGACACCTGGGGGTCTCATGGCCAAGGCAGTCCTCAGGCTGAGCAATGCCCATTGGGACGTCCCTCCGTGCCAAAGGCTTGGAACGTGGGGGGACAACTCAGGGGACCCTCAGCAGCACTCACCTGTCTGAAAGGTGGTGACAGGGGTGGCCACCTCCCCACCATCATAGAGCGTGTAGAGGGTGATGCGGTACTCGGTGCCTGGCTTCAGCCCCGTCAGCTGGTAAGTATTGGTGCTGCTGGGGAGAGACACTGTTCTGGGGGGCTCTGGTCCTGCAGGAAGGGAAGGATCACAGCCAGCTGCTGGAATGGAGAGCCCACAGGGGCAACAGGCACCCCAAGCTTACCTGTGGCTCTCTTCCACTCCAGACGGTAGCCACGAGCATCACGGGCACTGGTCCAGAGCACTTGGATGGATGTGGGGCCCAGGATGTTGGTCTGCAGCATCTGGTCTGTACCTGCCTCTGCAAGAGGGACCCCATGGGCCGGGGTACCTTGTGCCACCCTGCTGCCAGCCACCCAGCCCATGTCTCTGGTCCCCGCACATGGCAAGGACAGGGGCGATGAGGGCTGGTCCCTGCCCCCTCCCATGCACAGCAGCAGGATGGCATCACCTGTACCCAACACCTACCTGTCCTCTGCTGCACAGTGGCTGTGGGCCCCTCCAGCTGCCCGAAGAGTGGGGCCACTGTCACCACATAGTCGGTGTTGGGCTGCAGCCCCACCAATGCATGTGACACCTGTGCGGCATCCAGGTCCACCCTGCGCCTGTCCTGCCCTGTGGGAGCCAGTGCAGCAGTGCCTTGGGGAGGTCAGGCAGCAGGTGCCACAAGCTCCCTCCTGTCCTTCCCCACAGGGGCCACCAGCAGAAGGGGCACAATCTCTGGGAGAGGCACGTACCAGTGCGGGTTGCCCAGGAGAGCCGGTAGCCAGTCGCGCCCCTGACAGACTGCCAGGCCAGCAGCATGCTCTGTGCCGAGACGTTGTGGACAGTCAAGTGCTGCACGCCCACCAGGTGCCCTGTGGAAGTGAGGTGACTGTCCATCTCCCGCATGAGAATGGGGCAGGGAGCAGCGGGAAGCACCTTCACCTGCAAACTGCTGTCTCCAGGAAGCCCCCTCGCCCCTGCTCAGGGATGCTAACCACACTGAGGCCACTGAGTGCAGCCCGCGCTCAGGCGGCTCCTTCAAAGCATCAAACTGTGCAAAATGGAGCTCAAACGTCTTCCTCCTAATGCCTTAAATACTTTCTGTGGGTTAAGACTGCCTGGGGCAGCTGAAGGAATTGGTTTGCCAAAATCTGATGCTTGCAAAGGTGTTGCCCTGGGGTCTCACCCCCAATCCTACCCGGAGATGCTTTCCAACAGCCTCTGCCCTGGTGGAAACCACACTTTCCTCCCACAGAGCACTGTACTCAAACCCGGCATTTTTTCAGTCAACATTTTTTATGTCATGGGAAGAAAGCTCTGGTGGAAACACTCCCAGAAGGCTGCAAAGGAAATTGGGAGCACACAGTGCTGCATCCTTCCCTGGGAGCAACTTTTGGGGCCCAGAGCATCGTCTTGTAGCCACACTCACCTGCATCCCCATCCCACCCCCACAGGCAGCACCAGGCCAGGCAGCCCCATCCCAATGGGGCACAATGATTGGAGGGGGACATCCCTGTGCTGGGAACCCGTTCCTAACCCTGGCTGGGCCCAGGGCTGGGCACAGCACTCACGTGTCCGGGCGGTGAGGGTGGCAGGGGCAGCGGGCTGCTGTGCATAGCGGGGCTGGAGCATCACCAGGTACTCAGTATTGGGCTGCAGGTTGCTGAGCGTGGCTGACTGTGCGCTGGCCGCCAGGCTCTTCTCCTCTCTTTGGGGTGCTCCTGGAGGGATGTGGGGGGCACAGGGACATAGCACACACCAGGCCCAGCAGGGAAGGGGTGTCTGTGGGCCTGCACCCTGCCCTGAGGATGCCAGTCAGTGCCAGGGGTGGGGAGCACCGGGAAGAGACTGGGACGTGGGCCAGGGCAGGGGCACCCCCTGGAGCGCCCGAGGCCAGGGTGAGGCTGCCAGGTGTGTGGCTCCAGCCCCATCCCTGGCTGGGATGGGGGTCTGCTGCCTGCCCCCCATGTGCAGCAGCCATCGGGGCACACAGCAGGCCCCCAGCCATTGTGCAAGCCCAAGCACACACCCTGAACCTTGCACATGAAGCCTCAGGGTGCAGGAATACACAGGCTGCCTGCACACCTCTGCACACACGCGCCCCACGCCCAGCGCACGCGTGCCGGCTGCCGAGGTGAGGGTGGGTGGATACACACCCACAGCACTCCGGGCATGTATCCCTGCATTGGGCTCTGCCCAGGTCGCTGCACAAAGGGTGCCCAGGCAGCACCGACCCCCACCTTGTGCAGCATAGCTGAGGCTGTAGCCCTGGGGGGGCTCAGGGCCTGGCTGCCAGGCCAGCCGCAGAAAGGTCGGTCCAGTCTCCACCACACGAAAATCCAGCATGGAGCCAGCACGGCTTTCTGGAGGCACACAGAAGCAGGGATGAGTCCCCAGCCCCAGTGCCTGCACTCACCCTTCCCTATGGGCATGGGCACTCACGGGTTCGTGCTCGGCCAGACACCGACTCGCCGATGCTGTTGGCGTACTGGGCGGTGACAGTGACCAGGTACTCTGTCCCAACACGCAGTCCCCGTAGCACGGTGTTTGTCTCCCGTGGCCCCACGCTCACCTGGCCAGGAACAATGTCACCCCCTCATCTTCCCCAGGTCACACATGGAGCCACCAGGAACACCCAGGAACTCTGAGCAGTCAGGTGGGGGCACTCACCTCCTGCCTCTCTGCCATGATGGGCTGCCCTAGCCCTGTCAGGGGTACGTACTGCACCCGGTAGCCAGTGATGGGACCACTGGCTGCTCTCCAGCGGACCTGCAGACTGTCGAGGCCCTGCTCCGGGATCTCCAGGTTGGAGGGGCCAGCGTGGCTTGGCCCATCTGTGGGGCAGCACAGGGGCTGTTGGCTCCACAGTGCATGAAGCAGAGAGGAAATGTGGCAGCACAGATGTGTGCCCCATGGGATGGGATGGCCAGAAGGTCATTTTGGGGATGGGACGGATGCTAAGGGTGCACGGTCTGGCACCCAGCACTGTCAGCACCTGTGCCCCTCAGGGAGGAGGGTGATGGCCCATACCCAGCAGGCGCAGGGTGCCCCCAACAGTCGTGCACACCCTTCGTGTCATCAGTGGCACCAGCGTGTCCAGCAGCTTGAAATCGCCGATGTAGAAGAAGAAGGCCTCAGTAGGCATTGAGGCCACACGGATCAGCTCCTTGCGGTCAGCATTCTTAATACCTGGGACAGAGGGAGATGGTGGGCGAGGGAGGAACCTGAACCAAGCAGAAGACTCTTTCACATGGTGCAGAAGCCTCACTCACCCACGGCAAAGACCTTGATGCCCTGGCTCTTCAACTTCGCTGCTGGCCCCTCGGCATCGTCCTGGGACTTGCCATCCGTGATGAGAATGCAGATCTGCAGGGCCAGGAAAGAACTGTGGGATCCAGCATGGGGTCTGTGGGCCTGACACTCCTCCCCATGCTGCCAGGAACACTGCTCTGCACATACCTGGGGGACCCCAGGCCGGCGTTGCGTGGGGCCAAAGAAGTTGTCAGCAATGTAGCGGAGGCCAGCGCCTGTCCGTGTATTGCCACCCTTGTAGCTCAGCTGCTGGATGGCCCTCCGGACACTTGTGCCATCAGTGTGCTGGGAGAATGAGAACTCCACCCTGGGGAGTGCAGGGGGGCACTGTCACTTCCCAGCCCTGCCACCTTGCACCCCACGTGCCCCCTCCCTTGGGCTCACCGTGGGTCATCACTGTACTGTGCCATGGCAAAGCGCACTGCCTTCTCACCCACCACCTGCACAAAGGGCCCCACCAACTCCTCCATGAAGGTGCGGACAGCACGGAAGTTGTTCCTTCCGATGCTGGATGAGCCATCCACCAGGAAGGCGATGTCAGCCTCCAGCACATCCTCACACACTGCTGCAGAACAGTGACAGCACTCAGGGCACAGACTGGCACTCTGGCACATTGGTGCTGAAGCCCTCTTATTGTCCCGCCCACCATGTGGACCCAGTGCTCAGCACCTACCTTGGCTCCTCTTCTGTGCCATGGCAGCTGGAGGACGCAGGAGCGCTGGGAGCACAGCCAGGAGCAGGAGTTGGCCCCTCATCGTGGGAGCCTGCAGGATAGGATGCTGCCACCGCGGTCTCACACCAGCCCCAAGCCTTGGGGACAGCAGTTCGGGAGGTTCCCAGCACCACCCGTGCCAGAACGCCTGGCAGCGCTGGAGGGCAGGGTGCCAGTGCCGCCCCAGGCACCCCGCGGGGCAGGGAGAGCCCCGCTTCGGGCCGGGCCAGGCGGGCGGTAGCTGGCCCGTGAACAGCCGCTGGGGCTGTCCGCCGTGCGGGGATACAGAGAGCGCCTGGCCCGGTACAGCCCGGGTTCTGCCCCCGCCACCCCATCCCCTGCCCCACGCATCGGCAGCGGCGCGCCCCGGCCGCGGCTGCACTTGGCCCCCGCCCGCAGGGGCTCCTCCCGCCCCAGGAAGGTGCTCCAGGGCAGCGGGGAGCCAGCGTGGGCAGCCCTGCCCGCCAGCCCCCTGCCCCCTGCCTGCCAGCCCCCTGCCTGCCAGCCCCCTGCCCCCTGCCTGGAGTCCCCTGCCCGCCAGCCCCCTGCCCCCCTGCCTGGAGTCCCCTGCCTGCCAGCCCCCTGCCTGCCAGCCCCCTGCCCGCCATCCCCTGCCCCGCCGCCTCCACGGCCGCAGCGGCGGAGCGCACCTGGCCCGGTCCCCCCGCGGCGGCTCCGCCGGCTCCCGGCCCCAGCCCAGCCCGGCCCAGGCGGAGCGAGCCCCGCCGCGCAGGGTGCCCGAGTGCCCACGGGTGCCAGCACGGAGGCTCGGTCCTGCGAGTGTCCCCCACCCGCGGCGGGACCCCCGCCACAGCGCCACGCTCACCCACCGCCCCCGCGGGGCCGCTCCGTCCCGCAGAGCTCCGAGCCGATCCGTGCCGAGCCGTGCCGGGCGCAGGCGGTGCCGGCGCGCACCGGCCCCCGGCGCTCCCGCCCCTTTATGGAGGGCGGCCCGGAGCACGGTCCGGGGGGAGCGGAGCGGCGCGGCCCCCGCCCAGCCCGGCCTCCCAAAGGGCTTTTCCCACCCGCTGCCCTGAGAGGGAAGGAAGGAAAGAAGGCAGCTCCTCAGGCTCTTCCCGCTGGAGCGCCACCCGGGCTGCCCCGCGGCTGCACGGCGTGCAGCGGCTCCGGGATGGGGATGAAGCCGGAGGGGACTGGAGACCCGGGAACGGTTGCTGCTGGATTTGCCACCGAGACCTCCGTGAGGGGCTGAGTGGGCTCCAGTAAGGCTCGAGGCAGTTTTCTCTCCAGCATCTGCATCTTTCAGGAAGGTGAGCAGCTCTGGCACCTGCCAGCCAGGAGCTGGCCACCCACTTCCATCCATCCATCCATCCATCCATCCATCCATCCATCCATCCATCTCATGGGAATGTGTCCTGGAGACTTGGGGCCTGGGTCCAGGCAGACCTGGATGAAGCTGCCACAGGGGCTTGAGTCCCTGGCACCATCTGGGTTAAAGCCTGGCTCTGAGCACTGCCCCTGGGAAGGGCACTGGTGGTGAAGAGCTGCTCCCCATGCCAGCACAGCTCCCACAAGGCTGCAGGACAGCCAGGCCTCATCCAGGATCTTTCCTGCACACACGGCTGGGGGTACCAGCATGTGGGGCCCTAGCACCCATGGTTCTAGTACAGGGACTGTGCTGGAGTCAGCCATGGGAACATCATCCTGCTCTGCTCAGAACATCATCTCACAGCAGACTTGTGGCTGAGACCTTCCCCAGAGCTGGAGAAACCTGCTGGAAAGCCACTGGTGATGTGGCTGCAGTTGCTAGGAGGAGGTGAAAGGGAGAAGATGCCCAGCAAGGCAATCAGGGATGCTGTGTTACCCTGGTGTCACTTCCTGCCCATCCTGTGACTCGTGGAACAGTCCCCTGAGGCTCCTCCTCAGCCCAGGGTGCACCCTTGACCCTCAGGGTGCTTCTCATCCCCAGGGCACCTGTGGGACCACACTGCTCCTTGGGGCACATCACACAGCACCTCATCCTCCCCTCTGGTGCCTGTGCTCACCTAGGGTTGACCCTGGCTCAAGGAACCTGCCATGCAGCCCATGCCACCTATCCCCTGTCCCCAGCACCCCACGTACCTGTGCCCTCCTGGCCACTGCCCCAGGGACTCCCCTCCGGCTCCTGGCAGGGCAATGGACAGACAAGTCCAGGGGCATCTTCTTGTGGGCAGCAGGAGGAGCAACAGTGGGGATCTCTGGGGCCCAGGGCCACCTCGCAGCTGGGGGCTGGGGGCAGGGCCACCGGCCACCGAGCAAAGATGCTCCAGGGTCGGCTGCAGGCAACTTTCCCAGGAACAAGCTGTTCCCAGGCAGGGGAGGAGCGGCGATGCCCTCGCTCTTCTTAAAGGTACAGCAAGCAGCGCATCCCCTCCTCTTCATTAGCCTTCCTCTCCTCAGACCTCAGCCCTGGCCCCCAAAGCCGGCGGGCGGGTTCCGAAGCTCGCCGTGCCCGCAGGTTTGCCCTTGCCTTCCCCAGCCCCGTGGGTCCGGCCGTGAGTCCAGCATCCTCAGGGCAGCACCATCCCTAAACCCTCCTCCCGCCAGAGCCCATTTAATGAAGACAGGGCGGCCTGTCCCAATTAGACAAGGGGCTTCGTTAAACAGGGAGCGGAGGGGCCTGCCAAGGGCTCTGTGGCTGGCCCCGGGCCCGGAGCTGTGGAGCAGCCCCACGGGCGGTGCGGCGGCGGGGCACGGGGGCTGGGGGTCAGCACGGAACGGGGGCAGCGCCGGGCCGAGCATCGCCCAGCGGGCACCGCAGGCAGCGGCACCGGGGCAGCGACATTTCACAGCCATGCCAGGAGCTTTGCCAGCCACCTCGGCCCCCAGGAGTGCGGCAGGCACTGCTTTGGGGTGGTCCCCAAACCCCAGTCACCCACGGAGAGCCCGGCAGCACCTTGACCATCTTGCCAGCAGCACTGCCCTTACATGAGCACTGGAGCGGGGCACGCAGGGCTGCTGGGTCCCCAAAAGCAGTGTCTCCGCCTCCGCGGTGTTTCCCAGCTTCCCTCCGCATACCAGGAGCAGGGAAGGAATCTGCGGCCCCCGGCGCGGGACGGCGCTGCCTCTGCAGATGGAGAGCACCAGGTGTGAGTGACTCACGGGCACCCCGCGCCAATCCCTCCGGGGACATCCTGAAAGGCTGCAAACCCTTCTCAAAGCCTGGAAGGCTGGCAGCCCAGCCACTAGTCATTCCCGCAGCCCAGACCTGGGGTTCCCCACCGCCCACGCGGCTCGGCCCCAGAACATGCTGATTCCTCTACATTGACGCTGAACAAAATTTGTAGGGCTGACCCTGACCCCAGCTCCTCCCTGTGCATGCCAACCTGGTTCCCAAATGACACTCAACAGCTGGCCAGATCATGAGACCTTCCAGGACACCTCCACGGGTGGTCTTTACAGGGCACTGCCCAGGCTAGCACTAACCCTGAGCCTCACAGGGGTCATGCCACCCCCACGGAAGGGAACCCCTGGTTTGAGAGTGTGTGCAAGGAAAGCACAGGAGCTGAGCTTCTCCATGCCCCTGCTTGCCAGGCATGAGGCCTCGCTGCTGCCTTAATGGGAAAGAAGAAAATCTTCAGCCCCAGGTGAGGTTTCAGCTCTCTGGGACGGGATGAGTCACACACCATGGTGAGGTACAGAGCCTGCTGCACTCGTGGTGCTGTGGGCATTGTTGCCCACCCTTTCCACCCTCTGCAGCCACTGCCTCTGGTGCTGATCTGACATGGGCTGGGATTCAGCACTACCCTTACAGGATTTTAGTTTTCTGGCCCTACTGTGGTCCCACAGTGCTCCTCACTCCAGCAAAACATCAGCATTCCCAGCCAGTGGGGCTGCATGGGACAGCTCTGGGGCTGCTGGGAGGGAGAAGCCACCTCTCTCAGCACTTTTACACTGGGGAGGGGAGCAGCACGGGGCTAGTGCTGAGGCAGGGGAGGAGTGAAGGATCTGGCCAGAGCCTGGAGGGGGAACCGTGTCTGCCACAGAGGCCAGTTGAGACATGCTCCAGGAATGTCTTTCAGCACCAGCCACCGCCAGCTCCATGATGTGGCACCCAGGCACCCAGCCCAGCATCCCAGGAAAGGGGCCCATAACCCCTGGCTATCACCAGTCAGCTCAGGGAGAGCCCAGAGGGACAGGGTGACACTCACAGTGCGGCCTTGGGGAACACTTGTGCCACCCCATGGGACAACCCAGCAACCCAAGAGATCACAAAATAGACCAGGGTGGGAAATGGTCAGCCCTTACCTCCTGCTGACCTACCCTGGTGGGTCTGGGATGGCAGAAAGCCATGCCAGCCCTCCAGGCTGCACTTCACTAGGGAAACAGAAGCCTCCCAGCTCCTCTGTGCCAGAGGGGAGAGCTTAGAGCACCCTCCACCCTGCTGCTGCCCAAGGCCACATCCCTGTGGCAAAAGGAATCAAAGTATGACATCAGGATGAAGTCATGACCAACGAGCTGCCCTCTCTGCCCAGCAGCTCTTGGGATGTCCAAAGTGAAGGGGTGCTCCCGTTTTTGGGGGACCTTTTCTGCTGTGGAGGCAGCAGCAGTCTGGTGACAGAATGATGATGGAGGTAAGCGGTCCCACTGTAGCCAAGCTTGGGGTCAGGCTGAGCCTGCTGAGCCCCCCATCAGGGCTCCCCAGGGGGTGGGTGCATGACCCAGCTCTCCCACAACTGCTGTGGAGGGATGGAAAGCTTTTCCTCATGTAAACTGTTGTGTCTGGAGGCTGCTGCCAGCACAGCTGCTCATCAGCATCGCACGGACCTGTGCTGGACTGTGGCCAGGCCCCGCTGGCCACGCAAAATGGGCTCAGGAGGGAATGGTGACACCACGGGGATGTGACCCTCCCCTTGGCCAAGCAGTGCAGGAGAAGGCAGCCCTGGTCAGCGTGACACAGAGGCCAGGCTGCTTCTCAGGGACAGCAAGTGAGGGGAGAGCCAGGCACCACCGGGACTCTGCCAAGGGCTGGCAGTGCTTTGCAATGGCATGGGGCCAGCATGACAGAAAGGGAAGGTGACAATGGGGATGATGGAGGCAGGA